AGCGACAGAGATCAAAACGGAAGTTCAAATAGTCTATTAGGTGCTCGGATTGAACGGACAAATCTTCATTTGTGAAAATTTACTTCACTCTAACAAACGGTTTCTTTGAGTTTTTCGATGTGATCTGCTGATCACTTCCGTCGTTTAACTGAACTAGACGGTTTTTTTTTGTCAACGCAACATAGTTGACCTTACTGCATAACTTGGAACATAGCTTTACTGTGCAATTACCAGAATCACCAAGAGGTGCACGCTTTTGTGTAGTAAATAGTTCCACTTTGTGAGTAAAAACAATCTAGATGCGCCTCGAATCTGATTGAGAATTGCACCTAATTGGCTAAACCCAAGATGTTAGTGAAATTTATGTCGCTCCTATTGAAGTCCCCGGAAAGAACACCTATGGAACATGCTAACTTTGGTTGCTACTTCAAGGCAAGGTGGCCTACAATCTTTCACAGCTCAAACAATGCTGGGTCTGGAGCTACATACACATTCCCAACTGCATGAGTTAGAAAACCACTAGAAACATTGGTTTACACTCCAATAGATGATAGCTTACTGAAGTTGTTGAATACTCTGAGAGTATCGTAACAAAAGTACACTAATCTTTGTTAATGTAAGTGATGACACCTCCACCACGATGTTTGGGGTCTCTTGGGCAGTCGGATCTAATTTGGTGGTAAGCATTACGATTGACGACGTCATCGTCAATTTCAGAATGCAACCAAGTTTCCTGAAACATTACTATGCCTACATTCATGAGCATTCACTGAAAACAGTTTGTTAGACCATCAAGTTACACAAGAAGTGATCCTATATTAATGGGCAACATCAGAGGAATTTGCACCTTGTTGCCGGAACAGCACTTGAGTCCCACTTGCCAGGCAGCACGATGCTTTTTATTTGTTCCTAAGCCTTTCTTGATAAGATTTTTGAAAGTATTTTTGATCTTGTGTCCGTACTCAACAACAAGTGATGTCCGCAAATCGTCTCGAACGTAATTCAAATGTTCAACCGAGTAGGACGAAGTTGGTGACTATAGAATTGATTCACCTAAAAAACGGTAAATTAATTGCTGCTAACACAAAGAATCCGTAGTGTGTAGTGTAAAATAAGATTCCGATGGTAACAGCTCCGGCTGAATTTAAAACCCTGCTCAACCTGTCATACGGAATCAGCTCATACAACTACACGTTAACACAACCAGAAACAACTAGTCGATTCTTCCATGAAAGTCCTCTTGACAGCGTTTGGACAGAGTTATAGATACGTATACTTCTTGAAAGTGTGGGAAACCGTTCCTAAATTAGAAACAGATAAGTATGTACAGTTCATTGAAAGACTCAGCGACGTGATTAACAGAGCATCAGGAACCAAACTACTTCGTCCTGCAGTGTCGTTACTTCACAGAACCAGGACTAACATTCTGTATGACAATAAAGGATGCAACGTAGGATACCTACAACGTTAGCTCTGACCCAGTGACTTGGGGGAATTTTCTGACCCACCCCAACCACTGTACCACATTTGTCCATGAGGACAAAAGAAGACAAAGCACAACGTACCGATGGAACAGCCAATGCCTTGTGGCTACAATATACCCAGGTTTTCGCAATCACAAACTTCTTCCTGTCACATACTGTTGTCCACACTACCGACTTCATGGTTTAAATATATGCCAACAACCGCACTAAGAAATTCGCTCACAGTGTGGGTTCATAACTTCTCGGTAGCAGCCAACATCCGCCCGAGGGCACTGAAGACCATGGTCACTAAGCTGGTCAAGTCTCAGCCGTGCTTCATCCAAATACCTTTTAATGAACAACCTGTCCGCACTAAGTGAAGGCATGGCATCGTTACTCCAATTTCTAAAGGCGGTAGCCGTTCAGATCCTGCAAACTATCGCCAAGTTACCCCTGCCTGTGCTCACGAAGGTGATAGAAGCGGTCGTCTCTGAGGCTCTACTGGACTAGCTGGAAAAATACAACATCTTCACACGGGAACAGTATGACTTCCGTCACCACCGTTTATGCACCACTAACCTGATAATTGTACGAGGTAGTCGGAAGGAAGCGGCCGATGGTGAGGTCAGAATTAATGTCATCTACCTGAACTTTACCAAAACTTTATTGGTTACAGAGCTATGGAATCAGAACTCCAGTCTTTGGGTGCATCTACAACTTTATTCGCCAACGGAAGCTTCAGGTGCGTTTTAGGGGATCACTCTTCAACCCGATTGTGTTTGAATGCGATCTTCCAAAAGACAAGGTGCTGGGACCGCGCTTATTCCTGGCTTTTAGCAAAAGGTTGCGAGCGTTTTCGCCACTAAGTTCCTATTTTTCGCCGATGATGTTAAATATAACTGGCGATTAATAGTATTGAAGATTACGATTTATTCCAACTTGGTCTGGATTGCATTTATGAATGGTCAACGAGGAACCTACCCCAGTTCACCACAGCCAATTGCAAGGTGATACACGTTCGTCATCAGCCAGTGAGCGTTTACAAGCTTGAGGACCAAATATCGCAGAAAGCATCTCAGGAACATGACCTTTGTGTGCGACTTCAGGACAATCTCGGCTACTCGAAACAATCCGAGAAGGCGTTGGGAACGGGCAGTCAACAATTCGGGCTTCTTCATAGAGGCTTCAGCCGTTTTAACTCATTAATCTTCCCACAATTAGCGAACGCCTATATGCGAGTGCTTGTGTTATATGGAATCCAGGCCTAGCACCTATGGCAGAAAAAAGATCTTGATGATCTCGAGACTAATCAACACATGGCATCGAAGAACGTTAGGGGCCTCTTTCATCTGCTCTACTTGCTTACAATGGAGTCACTAAGATTGTACAGCAGTCGATATCGGCGCTCGCGGAGGAACTTCATAGTGGTTCACCAAAATCTGAAGAATCCAAACCACATTTGCCGCCCACTGCTGCTATTGAACCACAGTACTAACCTGAGGTCCTACTTTGAGGCTGAAAATATAGTACGGCGGGCAGGAAAGCTGATACACTCTCTTCTGCCTTCGAGTGTCAGTCGTGGAACGCTCTCTCAGTTTACGTTAGTTCTGCCCCTAGTTCAAAAAAAGGACTTAACGAAAAATTGTGCCAATCGCCTTTCATTTTATAACTTTTTAGACGGGAGAATACATGACGCAACCAAACCGTATGTTTCAGGAATTCCAACCAAATGGATTTTAACTTATCATATGAACACCTCGGCTCTTTAACGTATAGTTCAATGTGAACACTAGAAAGTGCACTAAAACGCTTTTCATTTTATCGACATGGTTGCTTTTTCAAATTCCGTTAACCCCCTGCACTTGTCATGCATCAATGTTTTAATAAGTGTTACACCATTGTTCCTAGTGGGTTGTTTTGTCTCCATGCACAGCACACGTGGGGTCCCGTCTTTAATTATTTCGTTACACTACCTGATAATTCTTATGTTTTTGTCACCGCTGACAGTAACCTTATTTTTGCCATTTGTTGTTTGGTAATCTATGTATATGATAAATTTTCGGACTCACCGTTCAATATAGAATGCTTACGTCTTCCGTAGGTGATGAATTGCTGACAGCAGTATAAAAACACTGCCTTGGACTAAGAGAAATCAAATTGTTTATTATCTTGTTGAGGGTCATTTTGAAGTACACGTTGTGTGGATGGATTGCGACGTGCAATCTCAATGTTGACCGCGATTCCCATTGAAGTGAACCTTGATTTTTCGATCAGGAGGACCGTAGCTGATGCAAATCGAAATTGGGTGTTGCCCGCCCGCAATAGTGGTGTAGTGTTTTCGGGCGGGCAACACCCAATTTCTATTTGCTTATTATCTTTTTATGCAAAAACAAGTTTTCGGTGTGCCGTAGCAAGTCCCATCAATGCACACTCTATCAGGCTATAGTGCAGAAAGCGGAACCCTCTTCAGGTATCCCATCTAAACGGCCCTTGCGTGGTTCATGTTAGGGCTAGGAGAAGCCATGCTATTGAGTGAGATGTAATCTGTCTATTCGCAGATAACTGACGAATAAATTTGACGGCAGGTCTCACCGCGGCTGGCTGCAAGATAAAGCCGCATCCAGCTAGTCGTGTGCCGTATTCGAAGCTTTTTGAATAGCTAAATTTGTCACTGAGCGTTTGCTACTACAACCAGCTATGTAGCGTGTGTGTAGGCGAGATACCGCACTGAGAATGCTTATTGCTTTTCGAACGGTCGAGCTGAACGAATTAGGGAGGACAGTCTGAAAGATGCTCTATTATCGCGTAAGCGAAGTGCAAAATAGCACGCAATTGATTTTGACCAACATGAACAACTCTCCAGAGCTAACCGAGAAGTTCTGCTGCACATTGGGGAGTTCTTCTGATTAATTCGAGATTTAAAATGAACTTGTGTTTGGAATACAGCATTTTGACTGGGGCCAAGAATTCGTTCTTGACTATCGGGAAACTGTCCCTAGAGGATGTCTTTTCACATTTGCGTATGATCTATCGGGATTTCGCCACCAGATAGTTAACGCATTCTCAGCTTATCTGAGAAGGGTTATTTGTTAGACCCGAAACGAGTATGTACCATCGTTTGAGTTCCAGTGTTGGTAGGTCCATAGTCTACACGACCGCACTCGTACGGCTGTTTCCCGACTTATTGCTTGACAATGCGTTAGGTGCTAAACAATACGTCCAATCTCCTTCAACCTATGGCGCCAAGTAGGTATATCGATTTCTTGAGCTGTGTACAATCAATGCGATAGCCAAAAATGCGGTTTCACGCATTCACAATTTTGGAACATACTTCTCATGCTGGTACTGCGTTAGTACACATCCAATCCTGAAGACCGAAGATAGTGGGTGAAGTAGCCCATCAGTCCCGGAGCAGTTCTATTCTTGTGCAACCTATACTTATAATACAGCAAAGGAACCACAAGCAAGACTAACGTCAACTTTGGGGTTACAACCGAAAATTCACCTTGCCCACTAACGCGCTTCAACACGGTCAGTATGATGTACTAAAAATTGGTCACCTGGATGCATGCGTGCCAAGCGTGGGTACCAACGGCACGAATGGCAAATCCAATTCCATGGGAGTGTGATGTAACTAACAGAATGCTTTCAGTGTAGACATATACTCAAAGTCAGTGAGGAATAAAGTGACCAGTAGTTACAATATGATGACAGTTGGTACATGCAGATAAAAAGAACGCATCAGCTACCAATTACTCTTGAACATTGTCGGAAGAAATTCTGTGGAACCATGAAATAAACGAATAGCAATAACTGTTTAATGTTCACTTAAGCATTTACAAGTGGGACATCCGCTCGGATCAGCATCGTAGCCGTATTTGCATGGCATCTTGCAGTTGACTGACGGACAACATTCACATGTTGGACAACCGGTGAGTGGTGAAAGTTTCCACAATTGACCAGGACAAGTGATGGAACACTTTTGCACATCACAACCACTTACTAGTGGATTGTCCACATTGGCTAGTGATGGAATGGGGGCAAAATCGATGACTGTTGTTTTTTCGGCCGGATAACCAGACGGAGTCAACTCTGACAACTTCACATTAGACGCAGCCGGCTTCAAAGAATCAAGTTGGCCAAACAGCAAGCTGGTTGTGTCTTTCTGTTTAGAGTTATCATGCTCAGTACGAGTATTTAAAAGAGACTTTAGTAAGGACTGAGGTGGTTCGAGGGATCCATGTAGTGAGGTTTTCGAAGTCCCTTGGAGCTGGGTAGAGTCCTCTGCTGCTGCTGCTGCAGAGAAATGGGTTGTTTCCGATGGATTATTGATGTGTCCCGTTAGAAATCCAGATCTCTGGGAACCAAAAGATTCTTGACTCTTTGTCTGTCCGCCATGTGGTATTTCGATTGACATGCCATGATGCCCTGGGTTGTTCAAAGGGATGATGCAGGGAAACTGAAGAGGTGGTGCAATAAAATGACAGGCCGCGTGCAGTTACAGTGTAAGGAAACCACCGCTTGAAAATTGGGGGCAGCTAGATACTGTTTAAAAAGTCTTGTTGGAATAACTACGAATAGACAGAAGACGAAAGTCAGAAGTTCGGCCTCATGCTCACTTTTGCCCAAGGCGTCTACTTCGGTGAAGGCAACCACATAGTTACGAACGCGCAAGCACACACGCGCAAAACTTGGCGAAAGTCTGAACTTCTTGCTGGCACACTGGATTCAGGAGAATATCTTTACCTAACTCAAGTAATGATCCATCGACTTTTACAGCGATAAACTCATGGTATCTATTCACCGACATTGCTGACTTCCGTTAGGTAACACCAGGTAGGTGACGTGAGTGTAATGAAGGCGGATTTATCGCTCACACATACTTATTGGAGACAGACGCTGGGAATCCGACATCTCATTTGAACAATAGCGAGGAAATATCAAAATAAGCACATGGTCCAGACGAGGGCTGTCCGGCCGATTTAAGCGTATATGCCATGTGGTTGGCAGTGAGTATAAACACGCTAGCGATTAGAGCGATTCTTGTGCTTCGAAATTACTTCTATACAGCGCCCACGTGGATACGGACGGAAGAAGTTGCATAGTTACTAGGAACACTGTCTTCCTGGCGTTTGTGCGAAGGGGGATCGGACAAGGAATTTTCGCCGACTCGTATTGACATCCGACATGACCTGTGCTAAGGAATTCCCCCTAGAACCCGGACCGGTGGCGCTATCAATGAATGCAGTGTTACAGTAGTAGTTCAGAGACGGGTGTGTTATTAGCACTAATAGTTCCCGTGCCACATCACCATACTACGAAGTGAAGTGGATGGTGTGTTATCTGTGACCGCATAGACTGTCCACCGTAAATAACAAGCACGAATACCTGGGAACGAAATATTCCAAACGTGTGGTATGATTTCATGCGGGTCAAAACTATATTGTTGACTCGGAGTGGAATCTTTCGCAAGACAACCTGATAACTACTTGACTCTGAAGCCATAGTCATCCTGCATTTACTATCTTGATTCACCAAAGCCTAAGCTGTTAGAATTTCATGGGTGCACCCAGAAGCAAACAAATTGTAAAAGAGTAAATCTGATGATAATCGGAAAGTGCTTCAGCTAACGTGATCAGTTCAGTTGGGTTAACGGCCATGAGCCTATTTTTACCTGATGTCTTCTATTTAGCTTGACACGCTGACTGATTTGGTGTGCCTCGATAACTTCGACAGTAAACTAGTTATTTAGTTATTTAATTTATTTACATAGGCTGAATATGAGGTTTCTGTTATCTTAATTCGTGGCGTCGGTGTCAGTATCCTGCATCCGATCTGGAAAGCATGCCGAATCGAAGTTCGTAGCCGCGAAACCTTGTAAAAGGTAACGTTCTGATTACATTAACTGCCAAACTGTCTCAAACGAATCAGCAATCTGAAAACGCACTGTGACCTTTAGTAGCTAGAGGTCATTCTGAGAGGACCGCCTGTTGTGCGTAGGAGAAACAACCGGTAACCGGCCGAAAATGTAGACCGGCTGAGAAACTGTACTTCAACGCTCTTGTGGGTCGATGCAAGAGAAGAGCAATGTGACACTTCGAACAGCTAACTTACCATCTGCAGCATCTTTTATTAAAGCTTGCTTCCCGTTGTTCGTGACAGCACTGAACCTCTCGGGGCGCTTTTTACCGTCGGCCTCTTTCTTCGGTGTGTTCATCTCGATTTTCAGCGCTCCTGATTGGTCCATGAGAAGATTGACGTTCATTATGGTTTTGGAGTTTCCAATAGCGCTTTTTTTGGCAGCGTTCGCAGTCTGCTTGCCATCTTCCTTGATTGCATTACTTGAGTCCAGGTGCTTTTTACTAGGTTCCGTATCGAAGGATCCGGCGACAAAACGCACTGATTCTCTCTGTCGCGGAACATGCCGTCCATGGACTTCAACTCCATAATCCCTATGATTCCCGATTGAGCCAGGTTTTTCCCTTGCGAAGTGCTCCGTGTATATAGAAGGTGGTTCATCGAACTCATCTTCTACGAGATCACTATAGGAAAACAAACTTTTTGGACGTTCCAATGACGAGGTATCTAGGAACCGACCTGACATTTTATTGTCAGGATCCGTTGCATCACGTCTTTCATTCCAGACCGTATTAGCGCGCTTTCCACGTTTGGCACCATACTGTTTTACAAAGTCTGGCCAGTCGGGCGTTGAATCGTCTAGTCGTTCATTTTCGGGTTCCTGGAGAAGAGAGCGGGGAAAAAGTTGCCAAATGGAGAAGATGCAAGTGCTCACTTGAGTTGAACTGCACCAAACAATGGCGTGGAAAAAGTGTCCAGCTTGATGGCATAGTAATGCAGTTGTTCCCACACACGCCATTCTAATTGTGAATGATATCGCACACGTGCATGCACGATAAACTACCGGAAGGGAAAACAGACATGAGCGACACGAGGACACTGTACGAATAGCGATGGCCTTCAGTACAATAATGTTCAGGACATAGTATGTCGCCTAATGCTCATTGAGCTACCGCAGACCCATTTTTATAAACGTCGCATATCAAGATACTTTTAAAGAGGAAGCTATCTTTAGCTCGTCTGAGAAATAAGGAAGTTTATTAATAACATTGCTAACTGAACTCCACAGCCAGCTTCAAAATCAGATAATCGTCCACATGCCCGGAAAAGCATTAGACTGCGGTTTCAGCTTGTTGGGCATCATCAGTAGTGCGCATCAATCGGATCCATCAGGATTCGAACCTGATGGTTGTCATGGGTTCGAATCCTGATGGATCCGATGAATGCGCACTACTGACAATGCTTAACTGGCTGAAACTGCAATCCAGTGCTATTCCGGGCACGTGGACGACTATCTGATTTGAAAGCTGGTTGCGAGGAGCCTCAATTAACTATCGAAAATCCCCTACTCATGAGTACGTCATACTAACACACTTGCAGATGAAATACTGAACTGCAACGACTGAAGATATAAACATTTTTTGTTTATAAACTGGGTGGCTTTTGGAAGTAACCAGCGCCAGTGGCGTGCTTAACAACTCAAGAATACTGTCTTCGGGAAAGAGTATTGGATGGTCTCAATTGCTCAGCACTTACAAAATAAATTACAACACAATTAAGGAAAGACAGAAAAGCTGAATCTCGGCGTTCTGGGAGGATCTGTTTGCTCATAGCAAATGAAAATGATTCCGATATCGAGTTGGAATGGTTTTACCTGTTATTCGCAAATAATTGGTTTACGATGGCAGGTGTGGTCTTGGATTCAAGTGGATCGAGAGCCCACTAGTGCAAAGATCATGGTTGAATTGTTACTTAACGGGATGCGATGGCAACGGATAAGCGTTCCGAAACCCCTGATGCAATGATGGGCACATACCAGACTGTTAGAAGGGACACATTAGACAGATGGACTTTGACGGAACGAAGGAGAACTTTTTGTAGGGTCATTCTGAAGACTAGGCTCGTCACTCCCTATGGACTGAAAAGAAGTAAGACACAGAGTATTAAAAGTGCCCTGTTAAAGTTGACTGAATGGGAAGGTGTTTTCGACTCCGCCTCACTTTGTCTCTGATTCAACGTCTGAGTTCCAAAACAACAAATCTTTTCACTGAGGTATGATTTCCTCCGGATTCGCCTTAAGTGCGCACACAATCGGTTCATGATTTTTGTTTGCTTTCAGTAGAGGAACAGTCGTACTGGATTCCTTAAAAACACAGAAGGATATGTTTGGCATGAAATGAAAACGGAAGCAAGTTACTCATCAGCAGTACGCCGACACACCGTATCGACGCTTTACTACTACACAATTAATCACAGTCGCACATGGGGCGAGTATAGCGCTAGATCACCCGAATCTTCGTGAATTGGAACCGCTGATCTCCGAATTAGAAGGCAAGCGTGTAATTCTTTCGGCCACCGCGTAACGAAACGCATCAGCAGTACGCCGGCATACAACTTCGCTACAGCCGACCGCCACTAATTGGTTGAGGGTTAACTATCCCGTGAATTCGCCTGCATGTACCACAATTCGAACCGGCGAACTCATAATTAAAACACAAGCAAACGATTCTTTCTGCTACCGGCAGACAGATAAGGATAATCTGGCGTACTTTGTGGAAAAAAGAGAAAGGAGAAGCAACATGAGAGCGTACTCAAGTCACTTCTGCTGCGGTAGAAAGATGTGACGAATACTCAGAGGAGGACTGTACTGGTGGGGCAAGCTGGCGAATGGTTCGCTCGATGAGGTTAGACTTACTGAACAAATTGAAAACAGCGAATCATGGTTTTCAATGGCCAGTCTTTCCACTTGCATATAAGGCCTCAGTTTACATTAACCTAAGGTGGATATCGGTCAATGAAAATACATTATAAATGTGCAGTTGGCATGGAAGCATAGTGAGTTAGAATAATCTTCCCTCACCTTAGCAGCCTGAACGTAAATCTTAATCTAGATTTGTCCGCTCGTAAAATGTCCTATTTGCCCATCTCCAGCAACCGAGTAAACACTAATCGAAAATGGTCATTCGAAATCCACATTCACCTCTAACAGTAATGATAAAAGGATGCACAAGTAAGGGGTGGATGGATCTGAAGGCAATAAGGAGTCAAGTGTCAGTCAAAGGTGAAAAGGGACATAATTATACGGAATTCAACTCACGATTGAATATTACAACCAAAGACAAGCTGCTAATCGGACAGCTTGCTTTATACACTAAGTGTTGCTAAACGCAAGCTTCTCACTACGATCCTCACTCAAACATCTGTAAGATTAAAGATACGAATGGAAATAACTCCTCTTAAGTGCTGCTTACCTATTCGGCGTGAAGAAAGTGTAACGAGAAAGCCTTAACAGTAAAGGAATTAACTCTCATTGAACAAACGGCGTGAAACAAGGGAACGGAAGAAACATCGACTACCCTTCTTTGAAAGAGGGATATCCGCCTTCTTACTTCACTCAACAGTAGTTGAAAAGAATAACTCACTAAATCCCGAGCAGCCAGCAACATAGGTTTCTTCTTTCCTCCCTCGGCAAAAGGTCCTCTGCTCATAGAAGGTTCTATATGTCCTGGACTAACAAATTCTTCCGATGGTTCTTTATATGTATTGTATGGACGGTTTTGGGCAATGGGACGAGGACCATCAGAATCATCTCTCTCGGTGAATTTAAGCTCGTTGTCTGCAGCGGGTCGATGTTTCGTGAAGTCTCGAGACCACCTGAAACGTGGTGGATGGTCAAAGCTTGATGAACGTGGGTGTTTCGAAGCGGCATCTAAATGACTAGCTCCTCTATACTTCCCCGGAGCGTATTGATTCTCGTCCGCATCAGCTCGGACATTGAGTTCGGTTCCATCATCATCTGAATCACGATGACCCCGAAAAGGACGATGCACGTTTTCATCAGCGAGAGGTCTGCGGTGGTCTGCTTTCGCTGAGGTGCTTGACTGACGATCAGATCGATCACGCTGTGTCGAGATTTCCAGAGTATGTCTCCATGGGTGTGTTAGGCGAGCACCCTGTTCATCTCGAGCGGAATCTCCTTCACCAAAAGCATACCCTGATGGGTAACGGTGCCGATGGCTCGGAAACCTCCGAAAAGAGGTGGCTTCGATTAATAAACTAAGAAGGATGACAGTGACAGGAATTCCCAAACGCAAATTCGCCATAACGCCAGATAGAGTGTATCGGATGCACTCTGTAAAATAAAATTCGAAGCCGGCCTTTTTCAACACTTCGCGTTAGGTCAAGTGGTTCGATCGTTTCTGGATAACTGCGTAATAAACTAATGAGTGACAACTCTGTTGTCTGCATCATGTGGTTAGATCAAATCAATTTAACCTAGAAAATCATACGGCAAAACGACAGTCATTATGGACATGTAAAAGGACTCCCTTTTGAGCAGGGAGCTGGGTATAGACGAAAAGGGCAGATCAAGTAATGAAGGTAATTACACGATGCAAGCCAAACAGGGTGATACGCAGGAATAATCAAAGAGGTAAAAATTCATGATACAATGGTCTCCACGTATAGGAAAGGAAAATTGGTCAACTTTTGCACAATCAAAGTCAATATGAAGCTGAATATTCACCCACCCAGTGCAAAAGTACCTTCTTTATTTGACTTGAGGTAGTTTGGAGAGATTCAACCAATTGTCAGTTGAAAGCCTAGAAGTGTTATCTGGATAATAAGCAATGAGCGCAGGTTGCAAGTACATGTCTACGTGGAGGCAGGCGGGTATGTAAACCGAAAGCACTAAGCATACAATCATAGGTGCCTTCGTCAAAAAGGCTTTCTACCTCAAGAGAACTTGTCGTATTTACACATGCAATATTTAAAGCGGACGCACCCGATCATCCATAGTTAACATTGGAAAGACTGCTCCGCCGCCCTATCTATAAGGCCCGAGACCGGTCAAAAGGTCCGCATTACTGTTTTTGTTTAGTACAATTTTATTTCTTATTTTTAATTACATATATTAAAAATGCGTGTGAAATATTTGTAACTGAAAAATAATGGTATTGAAGTTTAGGTTTTTCCAATTTAGATTTACGTTTAAAACAGGTGCTGACCCTATCAGTTTGTCCGCATTAGTCACAAACTGTGTTTTCAAATGCAGAGCACTTGTTATGTGACTGATTGCCTTTATGACAACCAATCTGACATCACCGACATTTACTTGTCTCATGACTTTCTGACCCGGCTGAGATGTTCGGCATATGTCAGTTTGCCACGTTCCTTGTTTGATGCATAGATGCACGTACTTTTTCCGAAATATCTACCAACTACGAACTGCAGGATAATTTATTTCCAGAGACAAAAGGATAAACTATCGAGAAATTAATGTTTGTCAAATCCGTGGAATAACTAGGCTGTCCATCGCCGAGAATATGACTTGAGATTTGCCATTTGATCGAGTATAACTACCCCATAGCTGATGGATTTGTAAAATAATACAGGCGCAGGCTTCTTTTTTGCGTGGAAGAGTTACTGTTCAGGAAACTGAAAACAAAAACATGTTATTCGTTCTGCATCGAATAGATGTCAATGCGTGCTTATTTGTATTACTTATAGTGAGTGAACTGAACAACTCTACGGCTTTGTTTCAAACTCGTTGGCATTTCAGTTCAATTAGCCCGAATAGTACCTACCACACCTAGATGTTTCTTGGAGAGCATTCCTCCCAGTGTTACAGATAGGAATAACTTGTCACATATGACACGGCAGCTTTTTCCAAAGCTAAATATTACGTTCTCTGGAACAATTGCTTCACCGCCGTGATTTCACCTTTGCAAGCTATGGAAATCTATTCACTATAAATTTGTTGTCCACCTGGCAGAATCCAAGACTTGATGCCGAACTTATCAGTGTTGTTAGCCATGTCTTGAAGTAAACGACAGTGGGTTATTGTGGAAACAACTGTTGGTCGACAGGGAATTTCTGCACTTGTACATGAAACAGTTGAGAGTTGCGATAAATGCATTCCAGGATTCAGAAAACAATGCAAACCTGTCAGTCTGCAGTCTTCCACATCTGGTAGCGCGCATTTCATATCGAAGGAACATCAGTAATTTTTGTAACAATTGTTACCCCATGCTTTCCTGAAAACAAGCGATCCGTAGTTCTCTCATCACAATATATTCAATGGTATGGTTTTCAAACCCACGAAGCCTCTGATGTGAAGTAGCCCAATGAAAACACGCTGTTCAGGAGCGTTTATGTTCAGCTGACAACTGATACCTAAAAGTCTAGTGGCCTCAGCTTCGGTACATACCTGAATATGCCTTTAGCATTCTGAAGCAATTCTGATGTCAAAAGCATTCGAAGGCTCGCCACATTGCGTAGATTTCTTAGCGTAGGCAATTGGTCTTTCGACACGTGAATTTCACTGAAAGCTGCAGAAACGTTTGATACACTTTCATGGCTTTGACAGTCACCATTGTCCTCACGAGGATTGTTACTCTTAGAAGGTTGATCTTCCGCGGACTCCTGCATAGTGAAGTCATCATGACCATCGTATATATTTGTTTCTCCAGACCTGTTATAATCAACAGCTGTGAGTTCTCGTAAATCCTCGTCAGCTGTTTGCCTCCGACGACCTACCGTGAACAAATGTCAAAAAGTGCTCAAACGAAACGCACAATCTCACTGAGGAATCGTGAAAGACAAGTCAAGAATGCGATTCTCTGCGCGCATGACGGATGAATTTTCAGCCTTTAGACACATGCTATCGATACGACAAAAAATCACTTCAAAAGCGACAAAACAACTGCGAAAGAAATGGCTCAATGGAAAAGATGACTCACTGGCTGTATTTACGGGACAGTTCTTGAATACTAGCGTTTTGTCAAATGGAAATCTGGCTAAATACGGAAAGTGCACAGCAGACTCCCCCAAAGGAAATTGCCGGTGCTAACGGCAGACAAAAAAGCTGTTTATCTGTTCCTGTCCTTCAAGGGAGACCATGTGGCAAACCACATCGGACACAAGCTCAGGTCCGCTCTAACGCGCACGTACACAACTGCCCAGTTGCGCCTCATGCACACGACTCGGAAACTTGTTCTTCATGACCGTCAGAGTTACCCTTCGGCTAGTTCGCCCTCTCATGTGATTTATCAGATCACCTGCAGTTGCAGCGACGTTTACATAGGCAGGACTAACCGTCGGTTGGCTCAGAGGGTGGCTGAACACTTGCCAAAGTTGGTGGAACAAATGATGACGCAACAAAATGGAGCGCCTCTCAGAAGGAACCGGATTCTGTCATCATCTATCACCAAAATGACGGACTAATCAAAAGCCCTCGTGTGGACATGTAATGTTCAATAATTTTGTCTGGTGGACGAGATAGAGATACAGCTGGAAAGTGCAATGTGTGTGGGTGGCTAATGTAACTGAATAGTTTTGAAGCGATTTTATTGAGTTGATTGTCTTGTTTTCGGGCTAGAGTTGACAGACACTACAGATCACACTTACGGCGCCCTTGTCTTGCTAACTGGTATTTCTAATTGCAAAGAATAATAGTGCTTTCTAAATAGGAAATCAAAGGCTAAACATGAGAAATGCGATCACTATGACCGCCTACGTGCTTTCTCGGTAGCGAACAAACAATTATTTTTCTCATAAACCAGAACAGGTATCAGAGTGCAACTACACTGTTAAAAAGACAGACTACATATTGTAAGTCTTGAAATAGCTTAGGAATGTGTTACAATGTACAAACTTTGCACGCACAACAGTGTTGAGCAGTCAAAATAGCCATTCCGGTCCTCCTATACCCTACCGGTTTTTCTATGGCCGCTATTCGCTTCAGCCTCTTCTACCAAACGCCTTTGCTGTCTCTAATACACCCTGCAAGCAACAGCTAGGGAAACTACTGTTATCTCCGCTGCCTTTGATTCTGTATGGGTATTGCCATACATATATGGTGAGTGCAACCCACCGAAAGTCACCTGATGGACCCAACTATCCTCAACACTGAGTGCAATTGCCTTATCAGCTACCAGTTGGCAGCGAGACTCGGTATTTCACCAAGACAACTGGGTCGGCCAAGGTGCCAGACTTAATACTCACAGTATGGATCTCAGACACACAATTCAACATCATAGATAACTTCTCCGGTAATAACCACAAGGTGCTACGGTTTACCTTTTGCATGGGAATGCATAAAATCTTCGCTTCAACTTACCGAAATGCTATCCATAGAATTGATTGGAAGCATTTCCAAGAGATAATCCGATCTGCCGACTGTGATTCATGTGTTTCCTTCCACTGGCATATGTACTGAGGTCAACCAAGTTCTAGTACCGGATTTATCGTAGCCTGGCCCAGCTTGTCCCAAGAGATATTCGTCCCTTTCCTGACACAAGGAATACAAGCGTAACTATATCGACCTACAAACGAGAATGCAGATTGTTAAATCAGAACAAAACTACTTTTGTGATTAGAATTACACGAACCCACAGTCTGAGTCAAGCACTCACAAACCATGAGGAAAAATTGGAGGAGGTGAACGCCTTAGAGTTTTCATGCAAAGTAAAGCAAATAGCCATCATGCTACGTCATAGAATTAAGGACGAACTTTAGTCGATCACGGGAAGGAATGAAAAGGATGATTGTTCCTTTGATGACATACTCGCTGGCCATAAAGCATTTGATTTTTGCTTAGCTGCTTCCATGAGCTAAGAAACCGTCCACATACGTCCTTGTTCGGAAATTATAAAAGCAAGCTTCCTATGCTGTCATTTCACTTTGGAACATGCAAGAAGCTGTTCGATATCTTGGAATATATTTGGAACTGATCGGGAGATCATCGTTTCACGAAGCCTGGTGTACGACTGGTTAATGTGTTGATTAAGAACCTACTGACCTTAGACCGCTAGGGTCTTTCACCAATAAAATGAACTTTAATTGCCCTTTATGTAACTAGCCATAGTCGTCATATAAGTCACACAATTTGAAGCCGATTCACTTCACCTGAGGGTTTAGAGTCAAAGACGAAATGTAGTGCTCTTACCAAGTAGCTCAACTTACATCCTCCAAACTATTTTGAAATGAGAAACGATACTCAGTCCATCAAAACATTGTTCAAGCTAAACTTCAATGCGTTTTCCATCCGCCATTAAATTCGGAGGGCTGTTGTATCTCGGTTTTGCCGTATATGTTACCTTTGTTGTTAGAATCCTCCAACAAATCTAAACATGGCTTCCTCAATGAACGCAGCTGTACAATCTGTCAGTTGCTTTATCCGGATGGCGCTGTCCGTTCTTCTATACGGTAGG